ACCAATTGCTATAAATATTGACAGCCAGTATCATTCTTACCTCCATGTACTCTGGAAGCATGATCAGCACCTATTTTTCTTAACATATATGAGGTAATTCTATGGTGACTTAAGAATTGATTAAGAGATACAACATTAGTATTCCCATTCTTATCTTTTAACAAGAAGAGAAATTTATCTGGTATTGATCTCTGAATTCAGATAAGTAATTCTCTTGCCCGTATTAGATTTTTTTCTATTGAAAGGAATGGTCAAGGTTCTTCTACCTCACCTTTATTTTTTGCATAACCAATACAGTACCAAGAATGATCAGGATTATACCATGGCTTGTGACTTGGTTTGTATCGGTTGATATGATGATTTTCTATATCTGCCGATCACATACATAGTATTATCATTACATATATTAGATTTTGCATTGAAGGAGGCTTGGTAATATTATATTCATTAAGTCTTTCCTGAACTTTTTCCAGGTAAAAGAACTCGGGACAATCGTAACTATTAATTCTATGAAGTATATGCTTTCTTGCTTGAATCTGATTTGCTTCTTCAGTAATAAAAGGTATTTTCGTTGCCTCAGTAATAAGATAATCAGCTTCTAAGCTACGCAACTCTTTCCGTAATAAATTAAGATGAGAATTTCCTGCAACAGTAGTAGGAGCAGAAGAAGCCAAGTCATATGCTATTCCATTTATTTCTTCAGGTGAGAGATTATTTTTTATAATATCTTGGGCAATAATTTTAATGGGATCTCTTTCATAAACATGTCTCCCAGGAGCTCTAATAGAAATAAGAGTATCAGCTTGTTCTTTACTCAATCCCAACTCTTGGAAGCATCTTTTGGCCTGATCTCTGGCTTTTCGGGCCTGCTCTTTTGTTTTACCATCTGAAAGTTTATTAGCCAACTCTTCGGCATAACTACTAAGCAAGGGTAAACTAGTTTAAGGAGTCAATTTGTAGTGATTTACAAATGATGTAGTGATTTTTGCCATGGTTAGTATATGTTGGTTGAGATGTTTTATATAGACTACTTTCATCTGATATATACTATGGAGATTCTTTTTTCAAATCAAAATTAATTACGCTTTTTTCCTCCTATACCTAGAAAAAAAGAGTTTATATATACCTATAGGGTTACCAGATGTTGAGCTATATGATTATACTTCATGTATAGAATCAGGTAAGTCAGGTATATGATTCTCAAGTATAACAATTTTTGCATATAATTCGGGCTGTTTTTTTTGATGATAATATTCTCTTTTTCGATATTTACTCACATGATTTGAGCATACACCATATGTAGAATATGTTAATTTACCGCATTCTTTGCAAGGAATCCAAGTTGGCGAATTCTAATGAAGTTTACACCCTTCTGGACAATAGCAACCTCGATTGCAAACTTTGCCAATTCTAAGAATATAAAAGCAATGATAGAGTCCCATATTTATTATAATAATAATTGTATAGAATAATTAATTTTATTTTAAAGTTTTTTGGGTTAAGTATAATACTTTTAGTTTATAACTATACACTACATATACAAACAACACATATATACAAATCAATAAAATGAGTTTGTCTAGTGAAGCAAAAAAACGTCTTTGTGAATCATTACAGCAACAGTGCTTAAATCAAAAGTCAGCTGAATATAATAAAGCAAAACAGCTTTTTATGGGTTTAACAGATCTTGATTATAAACCTGGCCATAGAGAATATATATTTTATAAATACTGGCTACATCCAGGCCTGAAGGGGTGACTCTAAAAGGTTATGGCCATACTGATAAAAATGATACTACACTTTTAGATGCGTATCAACTTGAAGAAATTTCTGATGAATATATAATTCGGGTAGCAGGGCAGAGTTTTACAGTTGTCGATCACCCATTCGAAGTTTATGAATTACCCAATGCTCATGAGTGCATTGATGGGAATCTGCCTCTTCGTCTAGTTCTGGATATTAATGCGAGACAAAAGCTCGATCCTATGAATCCTGAACTTCCTTCTTTAGATGGAAGTAAAATTTCTCGTGAAGATTTATTATCTAGAATCTTAATTGCCTGCGCCGATATTGTATACTCAGATTTAAAATATCTTATAACTCTAAATGCTTTTGTCTTAGCTAGTTCATCTAATGCTAGTAAGTGCAGTTGGCATATTGTATATAATTATGCACGTTTTGTTGACTACAGAGACCTTAGAGGATTTGTGGAAAAAGTCGCTAATAGAGTTGGAAAGCCATATTCAGAGTTTATTGATATTGGTCTCTATAAATCTCGTTTTAGTCTTTGGCTTCTTGGATTAGCAAAGAAAGACAGAGTTAAACGACCTGCAGTTTCTTCAGTTAAGAAAGAGTATCAAGAGCTAGAGGATTATTTAGTTCAACCTAAATCTGATTGTTCTGAAATCTGGTCTCGAACCTTTTCAGAAGAAAGCTGGCAAAAGAGAAATTTAAACCTATTGAGGATGATAATGCTTTGGTTAAAAGAGCTAATTTAGTTATTGCAAAATATGGGTGGCTTCAGATTGAAAGAATCGAGAAGAGATTTATAAACTTTCAAGCACAATCCATTAAAGAATGCCCTATATGTGACGTTAAATATGAAAAAGACCAACTCTATGAATTTATTTGTCAAAATGGGCATTTTATACTTAAGTGTTATTATCAAAAACAATATAAGCCAGAATATAAGGGCCTTAGCTTCAATAATGTATCAGATAAAGTCAAATCAGAAGTAAAACTCAAAAAGTGAGGATTAATTGAAAGATTGTCCAAGGCTAAAAATATCTACGCCCACTATAGAATTATCTGAAAATAATATTAATGTTAAGGAAATGGAGAACGCCCCAGAAGTTTATCCAGATTTCATAAGTGAGGGGGAAAATAAAGGTAATTTAGCTATACGTGACTGGGATGTTATTATTGTTCAGATCAAAAGTACACATTGTCTTAATTTCTATGGAGGTCATTCTCAGTCCTAATTATTGTCCTACAATTTTAATTCTTCCACCATACAAGCCAGAATTGATTGACAAAACTCAGGAACTTTTTGATTTAATACCTATTACCACTGATATTACTATTTCAAAATCTAGTAATGAGGTTTGTGAAGATAGTTCTTGTAATAATATAGTTAAGAAATTCGTAACAAAATCACCACAATTACCTTCTTCAGTATTAATTCAAAATCAATCAAATAATTCTGAACAATTTTCAAGCATTACTGAAGCTAAGAAAGAGTTATCTGAATTCTTAATTTCTTTATCTTCAGAATATCTCATCAAAATGAAACTGATATAAATATTCTTATCCTTCTTTTACAACAAAAATTCTAAATATCAAAAGAAAATTGAAACAATAGCAAACTAAGATTACCTTTGAGTTGTGGGATAACCAAAATTACTGGAAAAAAAAGTGTGAGAGCATGAATGAAGTCACTTTCTTGAAATATAAATGCAACTTCGAGGCTAAAATGAAGGTCCCTACTACTCTATACAAAAAAGAATTAAAAAATCGATTTTTAGCTTTTATCGAATATATATAATCTAACTAAATAGTAATTGCTACGTCTGGCTAGTTATTCATCTCAGATAGAGGAGATTTTTGTCGCCTCTTACAATTAATATAAGAAAAAATTCAAATAAAAAATTAATATTCCGATATCTGGATCATATAAAGAGGTTTTTGTATTGTGTAATTTCACATAAATACTTTTGATATAATGTAAGGTAATTTATCCAATAACCATTTTTGGGTTGCGTATTTTTGATCAAGGTAAAATTATGCTTTGGGTATCTACCAAATATATATTATAAAATTATACTTTGGGTGTCTACCAAATATATATTATAAAATTATGCTCTGGACGTCTACCAAATATATATAAAATCCCAAAGTATTTTTAACATGAAGTGATAGTATTCAAAAGTATTAACTATGCAAGAAAGATTTTTAGGATCATAAAACATAGTATACTGCCGGTAGTCACCCAAAGTAAAATTATTATAGAAATATATATATTATAAAAATTATGCTTTGGACGTCTACCAAATAACTGCTAACAATTGCTAACAATTCAGCACTACATGTCTCATCATTGGGCGATAATCGAATGAATTATACAAAGCTAACAACTGCTAATGAGCAGTCTATAAACGTCTCATCTTTGACAAGGCAAACGCAAAATGTACGTCACTCAAATGATGATGCAAGCGTGAATCATTTGTCACTTGAATGATAGAGCGAATACTAATATATCTGACAACACAAGTGCGAATCGTTCGTACTCGAATGATGGAGCAAATACTAATATATCTCTGACGATACAAATGTGAATTGTTCATCACTTGAATGATGGAGCAAATACTAATATATCTCTGATAACGCAAGTGTGAATTATTCATCACTCGAATAATGGAGCGAATACTAATATATCTCTGATGACGCAAGCACGAATCATTCATCACTCGAATGATAATGCAAATGCAAAATGCATGTCATACCTGAGACTATAATAGTCTAATCTAAATCATTTTGTATTTATATAAACACAAAATGACTACTGTCTATATGTTATATATTGGTAGATCTTATTGTGTACGAATGTAGGTGTAAGTAGTTCAGTTTTATACATCACAGAAGGTTGTAGCAGAGGGTGAGAGGGCAGCAGGAAGATAGAATTATGTTGTGTTGTTCTAGATATGAGTCATATTATTTGTATATCACAGTAACAATATTATGATAGATAAGGGGTACGTATTTGTTTTTATCTTTGTTCTTCTCAAAAAATATTAAGGTTTCTTCAGCAATTAGTTCAAGAAGCATTTTTTTGTTGATATAGAGGTTAATAAAGGCCCAAATAAAGATATCCAAGTAAGAGTGAGGTATCTCTATTTTCTATAAAGTTTCTTGTACTACTTGTGTGATTAGAGTTGTAAGGTGTAGATTATTCCAAATGCAAGTTAGAAGATATGTGATATCTTCAGAGCTATTGA